AACTGTAAGCAAGTTTCCCGGTTTTGTTTGGATCACAGTCATGCAAGAAACGGAAGAGAAATTTGGAAACAACTCAAGCAAACTTGCAGAACAAAACAAAGAAAAGAAAAGCGACTTAAACACAAAGTAAGCGGTTATAAATCCCAAAGTAAGTGGTGATCAATCGCTGGGTGCTGCCTTCTATTGAGAACCCTGTATTAGACAACTAACAGTACTGTTACAAGTGTCAATAGTGAACCTGTGAGCTAATTTGAATTTTTTTTTAAAATAATAGCTACTTTGTACCTTTATTCTCCAGTATCTTGCTGTCTTGTCATAAACTCCCACAGTACCATTTCCCAAAGCATAACCAAATCGAGATCCTCGGATTGGACATAGAGAGGTTACAGACTGTGGACAGAAGATGAAAAATAATTATAAGAACAATGTTCACAATTGCAGGATATAAAATAGGTTCTTGAAAAGAGATAGATGCACCCACCTCAGTTTCAGTCATTTCTGCGATAATTTCATCTTCTTTAAAAACTCGGATGTCAAAATCCTCTGAGCCAACAAGTAACTGTGCAAATCAAAAATATAGTGATTGTAAAATTGTAAAATGTGAACTTAATCCTGCAGAAAACTTACCATTAACCCTTTACCTCGACAAGTGACTATGAGAGAATTTCTCCTTACAATATCAATACAATATCAAGCAGACAAGTGATGAGAATAAAGTAAAATATCAATTAGGGGATTATCAGTTGATCCAATACCAAATTATCCAAATGGATACCATAAGAATTGTATGGTAGACAGTAAGGAGAATTACTAATGAGATCTTGAGAGTAAAAGGGTTAAGGAGAGAAATTCATGAGTGCCTTGATAGAGTGCTCACATTTGCAAAAGCCACAATTGAGATTATTTGACATTTTATCAACACTGCTGACAAAATACCTCTGCCAATCCATCACTGTTAAAATCACACATTGCCAAGGAGCACACATTGTCTCCTGTCACCTATGGTTGCCACAAATGGGACAGAAGAATAAAGTTTAGTATTTTTGCTACTGCTTTTACATGTCTGCCAAAAAAAAAAACAACAACAACAATTACATTATTTTTTAAATGGATTATTTACTTTTCTATTAGCTTTTAAGATGCAAAACCTCCTCTATATATTCATTGTTAAATACATTGGTTAATGTTTATGGTGGTGATAATCAATAAGTATCATATAGTTTGCCTTATATGTACTCACTTTCAAAAACAATTATAACATTTTGACTGCATACTCAAAGCAAGAAAAATAGACCTCTTCAACTCACGTTTCCCTGACTGGATTGGTGCTTTATTTAGTTTACAAACAGATGTAAGTTACACAAAATGACAACTATACTCCCCATACCACCCCCCAGTTATTGCTATATAAGATGACAAGCAACCAGTTGACTTCAACTTACAATTACCAATACTTACTGTCCAGAATTCGTCATTGCCTTCAAAGTCAAATCCTTGAATTGAACAGTTTCCACCCACTATCGCCAAAGGATTTTCAAAAGATCCAAGTCTGCCTGTTACAATTGCATTGGCTCCATCTGCAATCTAAAAATATTGAACAACCAAATGAACTTGTACCATTAAAATTAGCATTCAACAACTGTAACTGTTTCTCCCACAGCACTGAGTACTAACTGATTTTTTTTCTTCACTACATAATCCAGTTTAAATTTTTATCCTTTTTTCTACAAATTTTTAATACAATACCAATTTGTTTTCAACTTTTTAATACCATTTTTTTTCAATACTGTAGTTCATTTTACTTAGTAAATAGACTTGATTAAGGGAAGGGAATGGGGCCTATTCAAAGGGAAAAAGGCACACAGTCTGATTTTGTAAATGGGAGGATGCACTTCAACTGGAAAAGAGAAATTTAATTCAGGGGGAGTGCTAATTTGAGGATGTATTGAAATGAGACCATGAGAAATTCTGCATAATTTTCTGATTTTTTTTCTTCTCTACCAAATGGCCACCTAGGCCCTAATTCAGTATTACCACTCAGTCACTTACATCTTTATAGAACAGGTCAGAATTGTTCTCCACATCATAGGCTAAGAAGTTTGTGGGTGTACCAACAAGAAGCGTGTCACATCCAGAGGTGTTCAAGGGACCAGCTGCAACAGCAGAAACTTGTTGGTTGATGTTTAAAATACTAATGTCGGTATCATGACTTGCAATTGCTCTGCCTCCCTGAAGGGTGCCACTGTGGGGATTGTGGATAAAAACCTAAATACCAAAGATCATAAGACAGATCATTAAATGACATTTCATTTAAATATGCATGGAAAATTAATTGATTAATACAAAAGATCTAATGAAAGAAATTATGATGAAATGAAGTGCATCTCAAAGTACTCCCTCTTGAGTCCAGTTTCTAAGAAACACATTAATGTAGAACATATTCTCTCAATGTCCCTTCTAATTCACCATTAGATCATAAAAAGTCTTGGGTATATCATATGCTATGATCCTATACTTCAAATCAATTTTGAATTAATTTGCCTTTGTCTAAACAAATTAGTTCATCATAATGCAATCTGAAACACAAACATCTTGATATTCATTTTCGGCATTCTTGATCAAACCTCCCTATATGCAGAAAAATTGTCAAAATCAAGCCTGGTCAAGCCTGCAGTTTGCCAAGTTGTTCCTCGTGGCTCAGTTAGAGGATCACCTGCCCATGAAATTAAGACTTCAGTGGAGTTGAATCTTCAAAAAAGATTCTGATTTTTTCTTTCTCGCATGTTATGGGAAAAAAAGTTTAACAGCTCCAACTGACTAAAAATTGTCAAGCCTTTCAAGACTCTCAATTTGTAATATACGAAAGCAGTGATAAGTCCAAACTTCAGCTATCTTCGATTAAAAAATGGCCACCATATCAGTATTTTTGGCCGCCAAACAGAGCCAAACGAAAAAAAGTTTCTCTGTTGTTTATTGCCGACATCAAATAAATAGGACCTAGTCACCCGGTATGTTTTACACAGTTGCTCGCGTTGCTTCCTGTTTCAGACGAGTGCACGATTCCTTGTTTCAGTAACTATTTATCCAATTTGGATAAGCCAGAAAAAAATACCATATTTCGATAATAATAATAATAATTATAATAATAAAAAAGTACCAAAACAAAAATCGCCAACCTTTCCAGCAGTTGTGCCTGCTGTCAGACATGGATGTCTTCCATCGTAACGACCTAACGCTGCTGTTCGAGGATGAATCTTATGGCCCAGTTTGAGGGTAAAAATAGGAACAAGCATTGCAAGTGAATCTTTAGTTATATAGAAGGGTGGGGATTGATCACATAATCGTTATTTATGAAAAGGAAAATAATTATTAAGCGGTTGCCATTCGCCTTAGAAACTGTAAATTATTATTGCGCAGTAGGCACCCTGCGCATTAGTTTTGGTCTGTTGTACGCTGATCCGAAATTGTGGACGCAGAGAAAGTCGCAGATAACGGGTTCCTAATGTCTTTTGCGTTCGCGATCTTGCTTTAATAGTTGAGTCTAGGAGTGTTGAGTTCAGTTTGGCAACACACAACATCACCCAGTCTTATGTAACACCTCGATCGAGAAAGCTAAGGGGAATCGGATGTTTTTTTTAGTGTTTTAAAGTCAAGATTCTCCTATCTCAACGACGTGATAATAAATAGAACGCAGAAGCGAAATTTCCGATAAACGATGAAGTTGGATAAGTGCTGAAGCTCTGGCTGAAGCCTTGTCAATGTCAGGTGTTAGGTTCAAAAGATCGTGTTTACCACGTGTCGTGCCGAGACAAAAAGTAAAGTTAGAAAATAAACTCGATTAGCTCAGCATTTTTCGTCGATCGCAAGCCCCTCGTTTGCTGTAAAAACGCAGTAGATTGTATGACCTTGCAAATCGAGCATCCTTTCAGAAAGTTATAACACGACAATTTTGGCCGCAAAACCAGCTTTCTTTGTCTTTTGGCGACGAAAACATCTTCTTTCACATCAGTTCGTGGTAGGTAAATAGGAAATGTGTCCCCAAGGAATTGACGTACATTTTGAACTTGCTTCGACCAATCGAAACAAAGCGAGATATGACCTTCGACCAATCACAGGAAAGCAGTCGTGGCGGTCTATTTGAAGCGTGAGTGATTCAAACCGCATCTCGGTTTACAACAAAAAAGAAGGTCGAAGGATTGTAGGGTTCCTTCTGGGTTTTTGGCTCAGGATTTCTACGGATTTCCTCGAGGATGGCAAATGCCTATTTTTATCGGTAAGGATTGTTGCTCTATGCCATGAATAATCATTATATTCCCTGATCTGATCGCGAAAGTTGAAATTATTTGTCATCCATCATGTCGCAATTTCCGCGCCATTTTTGAAATTGATGTAAGAACGCGATGCAAAGCATTTTTGTAAGATCAAAATGAAAACCATTCCCAAGATTTCATATAATTGTTTCTATGATACACCTTTGTTTATACGCCACCAAGTCTAGTTTGGTGAACCAGATTTCTACCCTTGATTTGTCTGTTGACCGCAGTGTTTACTCATGTCTTCAGCCATCCTCAGACATTCGTCAGGTCGATCGCGATTTAAGTTACAGATTTAACAATTTAGCACTCGTTAGAAATCTTCACGGACCGTTTATAATTAACTGCTCCTTTTTAGTGGAAAATACATCGAATTTGTTACCAACGTTTACAATCATAAATTATACTAAATTTGCAAAGTCTAAATCTCCGATCAATTTGCTTGCGCGATCGATCGATGCGGCCTCGTTTCGAATGTTCTGTTGTAAGCGAGGTTTTGTTCAGATTGCTTTAGGATTTTAAATTCATTTAATTGCATATTTCTCTCACTTGGAAATTCGGAAATTAGATTTTCACACTTTTCATTTAGATTCTCATCGGATGGTGAAAATACAGAGTGTTATTTTAGGTTTTGAAGTGAACATCCGGGCTTTACGCGTGCTGTAACACGTGCAAATTCTCTTTGATTCGCTTTGCGTCTTCTGCCGCGTCTGGGCCTCTTTTGCTAATACACGGAGGTTCGTCTCTCAACGCTAAATATTGACAAACCCCTTTTGTGAAGTACGGAATATGCCTAAAGGCCCCTCATGCAGAAATGTTGCTTCTTCTTAAGGCAGCAGAGTCGGTTGCAAGGTAAGTTAAATCCGAAAAGAAACCTTTGCGTGTATTAGACATTTTTTTTTAGCAGAGCGAAAATTTCGATGCCCCGATCAGGGGTCATTTCGTCTCTACTGATTACGCGACAGCTCTGAGGAGAAGGGGGGTTTAAAGTGCGTAACTATGGTCATGAATGTGTTTCTTTTTTGTTTATGATTTAGAGGTTATAATGTTCCCGTAGAGGAAGAACCATCGTTGAGGGCTCAGCGGCGAAAGAAGAAAATCAACAAGGGAAGATGGACGAAAGAGGAGGTTGGTTTGCGCATTTAGCTCTTGCAATCCTTTATATTTCACAACTGTTTCGGCAAATAGGGTTTGAATGATCTTAAGGTATCATTTAATCGTTTAATTTAGTTGTAATACTGCAGTTATATGACGGTTTGTCTCGCATTTCGCTCATTTTGTTGCATAGCCCCGGTGGATGTTTTCTAACGCATAGCGCAAGAATTGACCAACGTTAGGTTAATTCATTCATAACAGTTTGTTTTGGCGACGATTGTTTTTCTCGTGTTTCTCGTATTTGGCTTCGTCAAGAAGTTAATGCAGCATTTACCGGTTTGTTAAGCGTTTTAGGTATGATAAGTGTAAAGTTGATGCGCTCTTATCGCCGGACGGCCTAACAAAACGTACGCACTTTTAGGTAACCAAGCATGCATGTTGTGAAGTCCATTTTAAATCTCGAATGTCCGTTGAAAAAGATCGTATTACTGCATGAGATATGGCTCGTACTCGCATTCTATCTCTTTGCAGCCTTTATCTGGGCGTTATCATCGCATTTCTTTAAGTTTAATCAAGTGTTTGTCCCAAAATTGTGCAGAAGATCACTCGTTCTCGAAGGCAATGGCAAATCGGGGAAAATGAAAGATGTACACAATTTGTAATTAAGGCAAATTTATGTATATGAAACGGAATAAAGCAAATGCGTTCCGTGCCGACTATGTCTCGAGGGTGTAACTAATAAGTTTGTTGTACTTTTTTGGCATGTAGAACTAGTGCAAGGCCTTCTGCTGAACCTCCGTAAAATCAAACAGTTCAGTGCAGTTTTTATGATGCAATGAAGTACGAGTTATAAACATTTTTCTGGGTAGTCTGTTTTACACCTAATTGATATCAATTTGAATAGTCCTGCCGTCATGCCTGTTGATGGCGTCCATGTTCGATTGCGCAGTTATTTGGAAGATTTCATATTTCGTTGTAAAAGTCCTCGGTCTGCATTCGTTGTCTTAGAGGAGATAATTTGCAATTTTAAAAAAGTGTAAAGGTGTTACTGCATGTCGTACATTTTGTGTACACTAGGATGGCACTTTGCATATGAGAGATTAAACGATATTGAATGTTTGATTTCAAACCGATTGAATTTGTGTTGCTTTCTGTTTATAACTTGTTAACACTGAAGCATTGATTTAAAGATGATTATTTCAACTCTGCTGAAAGATCGTGGAGATTGATTGCTTTAAATACATTGTAGACATTTAACTTGGAAGTGCTAATTTTTTTCTGGGAGTTTTCTTATTAGAATGCATTTTTCTTTAAAAAATTAGTGATGAGTGTTTTCTCTTCAAAGTAACAGACTAGGTCAGCAAAGGCATTTTGACACTAACAATTCACCTCTCACATGCTTACAATTCTATTTGCTAATTTTCCTTCCATTTGTATTGGTGCAAAAACATTGTGTGCTTTGGTGTTTTGCAAAATTTTTGTTTTAACCCAAAGGTTTTTTGCTTCATTTTTGCACAGGGGAAACAGTTGAGCCCTGAATGGTAGAAATGGGTTCATTTTTGCTTTTTCACCAATTCTTAAACTAATGAATTAGTTTATTTTGTATCTTCTCAAATTCATGAAGGTTACATCAATTTATGCTAGTCAGTTTGCAATGTGGACCTTACATGACCTCTTTGAAATGCAACACTGAGTGAGATGTGCACCAAGTCATAAATAAATAAATATGCATTGTCATTGGATACACAAGGCACAGCTGACTGTCAAAATTCCTTCATATTTGCATCATGCAATATAGATAGTAATGTCTTTGTCTTATCATTTCGGTTTAACTTAAGGAGAGATCAGTTTATTGATTTTCACTGGTGTTTATACATAATCCAACAGATACAAAATTTTAATCAAGGAAATCATTATGAAGGGAATATTGCCCCATTTTAATACCAAACCCTTACAAATAACCTGAAACTTCTACCTTTAGATGTTACAGTATGCTGAAGTAAATACAATAGAGATAATTACAAATTTTAAAATTGACCCAATAGGATGAAAAATTAAAGGAACTTGTGGATGATCTTGGAACTGATAGTTGGAAGGAGGTGGCAAATAATTTCCCTGATCGCACAGATGTTCAGTGCCTTCACAGGTGGCAGAAGGTACTAAACCCAGAGCTAGTGAAAGGTCCATGGACTAAAGAGGTCAGTATGCAATTCAGAGAGTGAGATATGAGATACATTGTATCTCAACAGAAAAGCAAAACATTGGAACATTTTACATTTTAACTTGTTTATAGTACTCACAAATAGTTGAGGATAGTTTGAACTTTCACACGCATTTGAATGTGAGCTATCATGCAGTTTGGACATATTCAAATTTGACTTGATAGTGGATTTTAGTTTTTGCTGTTTGAACGAGCAGACGATAGTAAATTATAATTTTTCTGTCAACAGTTTTGCCAAAAACAGGCTCAAACTGGAATGGCAAATGGTAAAATGGCTAATTAGTTGCCAAAATTTAGCGGAATGTCGGGTAATTCATTCTTATCATCTCCTGGTAGGCTTCAGTAGCTTCAACTTGTCTTACAATTCATTCTCATCATTTCCTGGTAGGCTTGGGTATCTTCAACTTGCAACTTCTTGACTTAAATTTCAAATGCCACCAATGTTGCCAACCTCCTTGTTTGTTTATGACTACGTGATCTCATTACGTGATTTTGTGAACTATCATCAACTATCATGGACCATTTGAACACAAACATGAAAGTCGGTGATAGTGAATGAAAGTTGAAACTGTCATCAGCTATCATAATTATCATGACTGTTTGAAAAGGACTTTATTGTTTGCCAGTAAGGGTTTCAATAGGAGCAGGCAACTGGGAAAATCTGCTGTCTATGTGAGGAAAAAGTGCTACCTTTTTTCTCTGAAATTAACAACATTAGAGTGAAGATCAATCTTGCATTAGCTGCCTAATTCACAAACTTTGCCATTCACATCATAATCTGTTGAAAACCCTGAGCCAGTTATTGAAGAATTTGGCTTTTTATAGATAAGATCTTTCCTCAGACAAGTTCCTCATCTGAAAAACGGAAATATGGTTAAACACTGCAGTTTCTAATCAATTATTATATTCAGTTATAAGACTTCTAGGAAGTGGGCATTAGGACTAAAATAATTTAATAAAGGATACAGAAGTAAATGAAAAAGTAAATATGTAAATGTCTGCTGACATTTCATTGAGAGGGGTTATATTAGACAACTAGGAGCAAGTGTAATAATAATCCTGATTTACAGGAGGATGACAAAGTTGTGGAACTTGTGCGGAAGTATGGACCAAAACGGTGGTCACTTATTGCTCAGCATCTGAAAGGAAGGATTGGAAAACAGTGTCGTGAAAGGTAGAACTAAATATGAGTTCAATTAATTGTCTTATGTCTGATTGACCAAACTGTGTAGTGGTATGCTATAAGAATTTTTAAGAGTCAGGACCTGATTTTGTTATATTCCAGATATTTTACCGTAATATTTTTAGAGTTGTGTAACAGAGAGTACAGCTTGCATAGCCATCGCAACATTCCTCTTTTAAAAATGGAAGCTTAGAAATAGGGTTTCAATGATTCTGAGCAAAACTTAGAAATAAAGACAGATAAACAGAAGTAAACCAGATGAATCAATTTATATGCCAGTTTTTTTTTCCTGTTTTATTTTTGTGTAGGTGGCACAATCATCTCAACCCACAAATCAAGAAATGTGCTTGGACTGAAGATGAAGACAGGATTATTTATGAAGCTCACATTACTATGGGCAACAAATGGGCCGAGATAGCAAAATTGTTACCTGGGAGGTTTGTGTCCCCTTTTACCTCAAACTACATCAGGAATTGAGGCTAGGTGGGGTAAAGGCTATGTTGAAGGCGAACTGCTACAATCTCCTTAATTGCAGGGCGATAACCGTTGAGACAGAGCTATGGCCTTCAGGGACACAACACTAATAACCCATGGTGGGAAATGAATACTTGCTCCAGGAAATGTTGGGAAGGGGAACAAACATGTTAAAGTGGAAAACCATATTGGAGCCTGTCACAAGACATTACTGAAACCTTTGCATTGACTGGAATTTTACCTCGACTAAATGCAAGGGAATTTCACCAAAGCTGTGTGGGTTGGGGAGGAGGGGGGGGGGGTTGCATGGGGCATTGTCGCATGCCTTTGCACAAAGGGGAAACTGTGATTCCGTGTGGGTAGGGGGTATTGCACGAAAATTTGGTTCTATGAACTGAGTGGAAGTGTTAAAGGGCCACCATTAACCCTTTAACTCTCAGGTCAAATTTGTAATTCTCCTTACTGTCAACTATACAATTCTTATAACATTAGTTCAGAGAATTTAGTATTGGATCATCTAATTATCCCCAAATTAATATATTTCTTTGTTCTCATCACTTATCTGGTTGATATTGTATTGATATTGTAAGGAGAAATTCTGTCTTGGTCACTCATTACTTTTGCTCAGTTTGCAGAGCTACAGTAAGAACATTGTTGTTGATGTTTGATTGTTGCCTTAATCTCTCCACAGGACTGACAACTCAATTAAGAACCACTGGAACTCAACAATGAGAAGAAAAGTGGAAAGTGCAGGATATGATCACTATAGAAAGATCAGATACCATTTGGTAAGGAAACTTAGAGGAGCTTATGTCCCTAAAGGAAGGTAGATCAGTGCATTGTGAATTTAAGGTTGTTTTGGACTTCCTCTTTTATAATTCAGGGGTAATCATGCTAGTGTGAGTACCCCTTATACTATATTTAATTACTTGTCCCATCAGCATATGTGTGGTTCTCCATTCAGCGCTGTGAATATTTTGACTACAGTCTGTACTAATATTATGTGAGGCTAAAGCAATTAATGAATTTTTTTCTACACTTTAGTCTGAAAAACGGTACAGCAAAGGACATCTTCTTTCAGCAAAGAAAGGTAAAATATTAAACTGCATTGTAACTGATATACAATAAACTAAATACTCTGCCATATGCAGTACTGGTATATTTCTACTGTAGCTGTTACTAGTAACTCATGAACCAACAAATTTTTCTCTCTAATTCCTGGTCAATTTGCCAAATCAATGTGATGTAAAAATGCATGCATCTAAGCTTGGATTTATAGATGTAGCAGAATTTTCTCCTAGGGCTTTATTCCTAAGGTTTTTAGTGTGCAGGAACTCCATTCTTGCTGAAGAGAAATAAATGAACAAATAAGGTATTGCTGAGAAATGTACAGGTAGTAAGGAGCAAATTAGAGCACTTTTCAACCAAAAAGGCAACTAAATAAAAGTTACCATGATGGTTAATCAAAGCAAAGAAGAAATCAAGAGTGTGTTCATTAACTATTAGCAATTGAATGAAATTCTGGCTACAGTGCAAAATTCTTGGGTGGTAAATTGTGATAGCTTGTCAAGGAATGAGCTAATTTTATTTGAAGTGTGAAGCTGTATTTAGTTAATTTTTAATCCACTGCATTTCCTATTAAAAAACCTTAATTTAAAGAGAATTCTGAATAATAAGCATATATGTATGTAACCATATTTGAAAAATTTGCTCCAAACACGACTGCTTTCAGTTTTGCCATGATTGTTGGGAATGTTAAAAGTAAAAACTGCGGTTACTATTGTTAATTTTTGCAAAAAATCAGTCCTTAAAGAGGAATCAATGACATGCTTTTACTAGTTATCAAATTTGCACTCCAGTTGCAATGAGGCATATCCTTGTGAAAGGTATTGTAATTTTTTTTCTCTTGCAGATAAAAGGAGGAGAGAGGAGACAGTTGATCCTTCATCTAATGATGATTTACCATCAGTGGTTGAATACAACAGCCATCCAGGCACTAGAAACAGAAGTAGCTCAGACTTAACAAACATTAAACCAAAACCAACAAGTCAAGATACTCTTCATTCTATGAGCAGAAAGAACAACAATAATGGAACAAACCCAAGCCTGATGTCGCCCTTTAGAAATACGTTCATATTGTCCCCAGAGTCTTCAGATGCTCTGCTAGATTCGGATCCCTCCTCTTGGGGTGATATCAGCTCATTTGACAAGGACAGTTGTGTAGGCAAGAATTTGGCATTGTCAAAATTGACTTCTCCTGGAACAAGAGGTAAGGCTAGAGTTCTGTCTCAGTTATGTAATGTGCCATACTTTTGTCCACCTGCAAACATGGAACCAGTGTGTAAATACCTAAAAACAAACTTTTAGAAGTGGTTATGAGGCACTTTGTAATTAACAATAATCCCATGTAAAGTCAGATGATCTCTCTAGACTTGTAAGCTGTCTTAGCCTCACTGTTTAGCCTGTGCATTTACGAGGAAAACTTGACTGGCATCAGAAAGTAGTGATTTGCCCTTAGAGGTGTTGCTCTTCAGCTTACTAATAGTGTGAAGAGTGTCAAATGGGGCACAGATAAAGTCCTTTGATTCAACTCAAGAAGTGGGCTATTCTTTGCACTCACAGTTTGTTGTCAAAGGTACAAATAATTATTTGATGCTCTTTAGAGGGCTGTGCTATAGAAAAACAACTAACTTGTTTTAGGTGGCTTGTGTAACTTTAGCTTTACAAAAAAGCAGCATCAGGCAGCTATAACCTGTGTCGAGATAGGTTAACAATGTAACATTTTAATTATAGCAATAAGCAATCACATGAACAGTTCAATAAAGAGGGAATAAACTATTAGGCTATTCCAGAATATTACAAGAACACAGGTTTGTTGAAAATCTCTATTCAAACCTTATTACACCTTCATTATTAATGATGATTCCTGGAATTAAAGCAAAGGTTGAAAGCCACTTTAAGATAACTTACCAAAGAGCACAGTGTTAGATTTATGGTATGTAAAAGTTAGTTCTATGTGTATGTCACATTAATGTTAAGGAAAAATTGCCTCCTCAGAATACAGATTTGATGGGAATTCTATTGCCAGTCTTCAAACAGATGGCGGGTGAGTTTTTGGAATGAACTGCTTCCCTTCAAGAACAAGAACATATTCAGTGACCTGTGTGGAACATTTTGACCCTCAAGAATGTCTAGTGTCTAGTATCACCCCTAAATCGCACATATAGGTCATGAGAATAAAGGAAATGATCACCAACTGAAAAAAGATCTTGATTGTTAAACAAGTTCTTGTCAGCACCTCAGGAAATGTCTAGAGGACTTTAAGGATAATAATTATTTGTACCAATGTTAGGGTGTAAAGAGTTAACATTGATTTGCATGGTCCTAAACATTGGCTGATCAGTGTTTATTTAGTAAGGAGAGATGAAGGCATGTCCACAACTTGCAAAGGTCTTCTGTTTTTATTAATTTTTCTTCCATTTTCAGATCTTTAATACCTATTACTTCACCTGTAATGCAGAACAGGTTTAGCACACCTCCAACTATTCTTAGACGAGGGCGTAAAAGAAAAGTATCCTTCACAAATTGATTGACTCAAGTTTAAAAAATTTAATTTTTTTTCTACTGCATTCTTTGTTTTTTATCAATTTGTTGTGTGAGGCATAATCCTTAACCCTATACCTTCAGTCTGCTGACCATGATTTCAGTCACAGTGTCAATACAGAAGTATCTTTCAGCAGTCCTAAAGGGGCCACCCCCATCAAGCTCTTGCCATTCTCACCTTCGCAGTTCCTTAATTCACCTGTAAATTCAAGCAAAGTTCAGACGTCAACTCCAGCTTGTGAAAAAATTCAAGTCAGTTTAACAAACACAACACTGCATACTCCTGGTGTACTAGAAGCAAGCTCAGGGGAGGATCCTTTCCGAACTCCACGCATCAGAAGAACTTTATTATGTGTATCTCCACGCACTCCAACACCATTTAAAAATGCCCTGAAAGTGTTCAATGACACGAAAATGGCACATGTGAGTTGGATATTTGAAGATAACAGGTTATGTAACTTATGAGGTTATGTAACAGGTTATGTAACTTAGTGCCCTTACAGCTTTCATGGCACAGGTCAAGTGGTTGATTATTATTAGAGCACTCTATTCAATCACTTTTCTTCAATATTCTCTAAATATTTTGGAATGAACAATAAATGACAGTGACAACAGCCTTCTGAGTAATAACCATGGGTGACAACCCATGTCAAGTTTGTTAAAAGACCCTGCTCTCCTCAAGATGTTATTTTTTTCAGGGGCCAGGGAAGGGGGAAATTTTCATACAATTGTGACGTGGATTGTAGCCACTATTTCTCCTACATGTATATGACTTGGTTGATGCTGAGATGAAGGGACTTTTTAATGAACACCTTTTAGTTGGTGTAAATTTTTACCCCACTAGATACAGGTATCTTAGGGGTAGACTCAAGGGGCTTTAATAAACTTGCATTCTGTATTATGGAAAAATGTTGCTCTGGAGTGACAGACATAAATCCAGCTTTTACAGCTGTATCATGTTTTGAAATTTACCAGTTGTAAATTTTTTTTTTTTTCAGACACCAGACAATTTTGAAGCAGATTTCAATGAAATCATGAAACGGGAGGAAGAAGAAAGTGGTGTTCACTTATCCTGTAGTGGGGGAAAAACATCCTCTAGAGTACGGACCTCCCTTGAGGAAAAGTATGCCAAGATGAGCAAAACAACATCAGCATCTACTGCCAATGGATCAGAAGAACAACCAAGTGTGATGGAACAAGAACAAAATTCTTCAATTGTTGAGTGTGTTGTGGTATGTGATATGAAATACCTCTTTTTGTTATATTTCACTTGTATCTAAAGGGTAAGACATACCTATGACTCCTCTCCAGACAAGTTAACCTCTTTATTTTAGTATAATTTTTCTACTGGTGGTTTTTACTTGCCTCTGCACTTCAGGGAAAATTGACATGTGCCACAAGTGTTGAGAAATGCTTTGTTTATGTTGTCTTCAGGAGGATTCTGGTGTTGTTCAGACATCAGTTTTACCCTCACCTTCCAAGGATTCATCATTTATCAAACCTTCTGAGATCTTTGGCCAGCATAACCCCTTCGCCACACCTAGTTCTGTGACGTCTGAAACTGGAGTAAGTGGAAAAAACCTGGCTCAAACCACACAGGTTGAACATTTCTTATGCCCTAGTGCTGTGGATTTTCAGGTGACTTTTGGCTCTCAAGTGTTTGCTTTAGACCTCAGCTTGTCACTAAGTAACACTTCCAATGCCATACATTTTAAGACTTCATAACTGTAACTTTGTTGCTGTTATGCCTAAATTTAGTTTGCAGAATAAATTTTGATTATTCTTGAGAAAAGTAAGGTCAAAGTAGCAAATTTTAGCACCAATTTTTGTGTTCAAAATGGAATGGGGAAACAACAAAATAATCACTAAAAGCAATTACAATCCCTCATTAATCCTTTATTAATCTTGGCAGATTATGATTTCACAGTTTCCCTTCAGGAAGTAATCACAGTCCCTTGAATTCTTGCTATGGGCCCAGTTGTTCAAAGGCTGATTATCACTAACCCAAGCTTAAATTTTAATCCAGGTTTTGTTATTCCATTGTTCAAAAGTGGTCTTGGGATAATTTTTTATCCAATCATCAAATTGTAGACCAAACGAGTTGTTCAGAACTGAAATCTAATTTCACACTCACCAGAGGTTAACTTAACTCAGCCTAAACAACCTGGCCCAGATCCTTTACCTCAGGGAGCTTGGTGATGAGCTTGGCTATTAGTAGGTTTATTGTTGAGATGCTTCTTACTATAAAGATCACCAATTTTAAAAGCATCATGTAACTAAATAGGTCTAGAATAATTAATAGATTTAGCCAAGCCTAAAAGCGGAGCTCGCATTTTTTTTTTCCTGCACTCTCAAGGGCACAATGCCTTGCCCCAGCCAGGACTAGAACCTGGGTCATCCAACTCAGCGCCCAGTGCACTGACCACTGGACTACTGAACAAAGCCATGGTGTTGGTGTGCCTGCGGTACAGTGGACCATGCATGTTAAAAGTAGCACCTCGTACGGTCGTACGGTCGTACAACCAAATTTTTTCGGCTTGATGGGTTACTACTATTTTGTATAGTTATGGGGCTACGCTCTGCTAGCTCCGCTAAAATGAAATATTTGAAATTAGAAGATACATTATTTGTTTCTTCACCATAGCATTACAAAAGAGAAAAATCTGTGTCCCCCTTAAGAATGTAAATGTTTTCTTGTAGCAGATGAATATTCTCATGTGGCTAATTTACTACAATTGTATTTCAGCGGCACAGAAGGAAAGGGCATCCCATGCGCATACTGCAATTTCAAGAGACGCCACAGAAATCAGCGCCAAAGGTATGGTTTGACTTCTGCTTAGGGTTAGGGTTAGGGTTAGGGGCAGATAATGCTCTCCACCAGGTAAATCACTGTCCATCCAAAAAGTGTTAACAAAATGTACTGCACTATCTGCCAGATACAGATTTATCCACTGAACAACCAGAGCCTGGTGCCAACGTTTTACTGACTTTCTGAGCAGAGTTGTAAGAAGTAAAGCCCCTGCAATTGATGTCTTCAGTAGCTGTAATTAGCTCCTGCTTTTTTCTTAACAAACCTTAATCTTTTCTGTGGGGTGTTTTATTTTGGCAGCTTGACTCAGCATGGGAGCAGGTAGCATGCGGTAAAACTCCTGATCAACAGCTACTAACTCAACAAGCTCATCAGTTTTTTGCTAATTACCGGCCAGCGGCACGTACACTACACTTCAATACAACTACAGTGGCTTAAACTGGACAGTCTGGTGTGTGTCACTAATTTGTTTTCCTCCTGTGTGAACCCCAGGGTATCATCAGTGAATTAATCTTTGATATTCAAATCTAGATAATTTAATATTTTAAGGAAAAACAGAGTAAATAACTAACCATATAAAGAAAATTGTAGAAACAGAAAAACAGGTCAAACCAAAACAATTAATTTAAAAGCACACACCTATATAGCTAGATGTAAGGAAAAAAGTTTTCACTTTTGCTACCCATATGTGGTTACCAGTCTTTGATGCAAACTTCTTGACAGAAAGATGTAGAGTTCTGGATTTTTTTTCCTTGTGAGCACTATGGTGAAAGTTGAATCTAGAGAGGTGGGAAGAAAATGTCCACTTCTTTTTTTAAAGTTGATTTTTGATGGAGTTCCTGCACCTCTGAAATTGCTTGCAGTGAAGGTACTCTAACAAAAATTATGATGGATTATGGTTACTTCATTGTGAAAATTTTGTGGTAGGTGGAACTTTTTGAAGGGGAAAGAGACAACATTTTCTCTGAAGCAAAAATGTGTGGCCAATAATGTAACAAGAGGTATACAAACTGTCCACTTAAAACAAGACATTGTTTAGTTTTTGTTTCAGTGATACTGCGCGACAAAGTTTTTGATAGCTTTGAATTTATGACTTACCGTAGAATACACATGAATTAGAGGCTTCCGTAAAATCTGGTGTCATTTTACATACTATGTATACTAAAATGAAGCCACTGATCAGGTGATAATCTGATGAATTCATTGCAGTGTTGTCTGAAATTGAACTTTTAACTGTTCAAACACTTAATATTAGACCCAAAGTAGAAATATTTTATGTGGTGTCTTGCAAAAGTTTATTTAGCCTGTTCAAGCTGAGATGTAACGTCGGGGTACATATACAGTATTTCCTCATTCATGCAGACTTGGGAAGATCTGATCAACTGAAGATTGTCATTTCTGAGTTGAATTGGCAGGACATACGATTTGTGACTTGCATATCTCTTGTACCATACACTGGGACATATTTTTACCTTTGATACATGTTAAATCTCTGTCAATGTTTGGGAGAAAAGTTTGTTCCTGTATTAACTCTAGATGGGGTCATACTACTAAGCACTTGTCGTAGGTTGAATAGTTCCTTATTGGGTATGACAGATTTAGATTTTTGTTCTTCATAAGAAATTGCAATCTTGCCTTACTCTGTGTGAGAGTTTGGAAGTTTTATCTGATTTAATGGAACTAGGAAGTTTTTCATGGTTGTGACAGATCTATCTCTCAGGTAAGTGAAAGCAATCCAAAAACTGCAGATCAGCTCTGTATTTCTTGGTACACTCAGTTTTGGACTCTAAAATCTTTTTTATGTCTATTCAGGAGAGATTTTCCACTGTTAGTTCTTTGGGTTTCCTGTGACCCTTAGAATATTTCTGCAGATAAGTTTTATATAGTATCACCGCATAAATTCAAAATAATCTCCATGCATTTGTAGTACAGTACATTCAGGAAGGAGAAGAGATTCGTCCAAATATCTACTTATTCAAGTTCACTCGTTTTATTCACATTCTGACTAGAAACTTCCGTCTCCTTCGCAGCCGATCTAGGGTGTGTCACGCAACGCCCATTCTTCTGTGACGAACGTGGCGTGACATCCCCATGAACGGATGAGAAGGATATATCATGACAGCCCTTGTAATTGATAGGTTAACAGTATTTTTAAGAAAAATTAAAACATTTTTTTCCTTTTTCACGAAAACGAAGCGTGCTTGTAATAATTGACAATATGCAGATCTTTGGTAGAATTGCAAGCAGCGAAATTGTAGAAAATGATAGGAATATCATTAGATCAAAATTATATGTAGAAAGTTTAAAGTAGCTCTCGAACCATTCGTGACTTGTATAAGAGGAATAATATTAGGTCTGATAGCTCTCCATATGGTTGTTAGAGGTATGTCTTAGAGTTAGTATTAAGCACTGTCAATGATAGAAACGATGTGTACGCGTTGGGTTATTTTTTAAACCATTTTTTTCCTTGTAAATATATTGTTCTTTTTATTTTGTACAGAAATAAAGTATTTCCAAATTCTTCTTTTGGTTTTGTTTTTTGCACTTTTTGTTTACCTGTTTGATTGGATTCCTTACTTTATCTTTACTCTTTCCCTTTGGCTAGGAAATTATAATAAAATCCCCCCCACCTTTTATTCAAATTCTTTTACAAAAGTCCCTGGTTAATGGCCGTAGGCGATAGCCAGATGCAGGGCCGGAAGAATCTGATTCGGCCCCACGAGGTCAGATGCACTCAGAAGAAAGGAAAGAGCAACAGCCATGTAATGAATTGCTTATTGACTAAGTAAGCTCGGGTCGGACGTGAAAATATATGGCCCTCGGTCATATTGAATGGACGTCGCAGCGCTCGTACCTTAGTTTCCTTCTCATCCGTTTTTCGGTCTCGTCTCGGGCGCTCTCTCCACCATCGAGAAAGCGCGTTGCCTGATGAGTCGGTACCTCGGCCTCGAGCCAACAATCTTTAGCCGGCCCTTCCATTCAATTATCTATTACTTAAAGATTGTAACGAGTGCCATTTGCCAATCACCTCACACAAGTCGATCATGATACGATTGATAAAATGGAAATTTAGGACACGGCCGGCGTGAAATTCATGATGCGTCTGTAATGTAAACAACGTGGTTGCAGTTGTTCTTTTAATTACCCAGGTTGAGTGCTTTGTAAGATCCTTAAATTTTATTACGCGCGATCGCGGACCTATAATTTGGGGTGAATAGACCGCGAGAGCCTGGGTTATTAAGAAGGAATATGGAGGTAGAAGTGTAAGAAACGCTAGTGTGTAAGAGCGTATTTTCCTTCATTAATTTCTTTTCAAATTGGTTTCGATGGCGAAGAAATTCAAGCTGTCAAATGACCGTGAGCTCTTTGATTCGTTTTTTCCTGGACTGGTCGATGATATTGTGAAGGAGAGCGAGAATGATCCGGAAACCGGAGAAGCAGCTCGACATATGCGTGAGGTAATATTGAAATTGAAAGTAGCACTAAGTCCTCTATAAACTTCGTCAGCGATCTCTGTGTTTCAAAAAGTCACTATTTGGTGCTAAATAGCAATCAACCCGCCCTGAAAATTAACATAACCCTAAAACATACTGTTATAAATTCTATAGAAAAGCCAAGAAAGGCCATCAACCTTGTTAGTCCGGCCTTAGACCATGTTGTGAAGATGAAACCTTCATGGTCCAGCCCCAATCACATCAGATAACAAGTGGATTCCTTTTTTGGAGATTTTAATTCGATTTTTCTGTAATTATTGATCGGTGTGTGTTCTTATTTCTGCCAGGTATTGGAATATAATGTTCCTGGAGGTAATTTACAATTCATTCATTTGTCATTTTATGTACCCTAAACTTTGCACCTGATCAGGATCAACAGGAAATGTCTTGAGAAACCTAGGGTTTTCATATCTGGTTGTAAGGGTATAAGCTTTTTTCTTCTCACCCATCTGGTATTGTAAGCATTGACTGTTTAGTTTCCAGAGACTGTTTTTCAAGGGGATAGAAAATAATGTTGAAAAACCTTAAAATAATTGAGAATTTCCCTTGAGCCAAGCAACTAAAACTATCACAGGATTGAGTTAGGCAAAGATTATTACAGACATGACTGTCCTCAACGATTTCTGTTGGAAGACTCCCCATTACAAACTCCCCCTCCCTACCACCCTTGCAAGTTCTCCCCCTGAAGTAAAACAAGTTCTTCCCTCATTTTGAGCAGTTTTTCCTGGCCACCTTTGTTTGTTTGCCCCCAAATGTTTCACCTTGTTACAGCAGAACATTTTCCTTTTTTGTAAAAATTGTAACATATTTTGGTCAACTTGCAATTTCATAGCAAAATCATGAAAAAGTTCAATCAACATGCAAATTCTAAGGCATGTCTACTGCATGAGTAAGGCTAAGCTGTTACATTGCATTTACTCCTCAAATACTATGAGCATTTTTTTGTATATAAGTTGTCCTTTTAAATTGTTTCTGTCTTTTTTTTTTTTTTTGTTGTTTCTTTTCTTTTAAAGAAGGAGAAAAATGATAAGAGTTATTGAGGATTTCCTTTTATTGACGTGAAGCAACATTGCGATTTTCTCAAATCCCTTATGTAGGAAAAAAGAATCGTGGCCTTTCTGTGATTGGATCATTACGGCACCTTATTAGTCCTGATAAGCTAACAGAGACAGATGAAAAGAATGCAATTATACTTGGTTGGTGTGTAGAGTGGGTGAGTTTGAAAAATTCACTTGTTTTGAATTAAGGGTCTTTTGCCCCGATGTTTTTTCTGTTTCCATAGATTTCAGGGTTCCACATGCATGTTTGGTCAAATTGGTATAATGTGAAGCTGAATTATATATCCTAGTAGTATTTGGCTATTTATAAAAAAAAAGCTGACTGACAAGTTTTAGTGACTTGACACAAACACTGGTAAACCTGATACGACAATAAACTCACTAGGCTCTGTTTGCTGATTGTTTTATAGTTACAAGCCTTCTTCCTGGTTGCCGATGATATCATGGATGAATCATTGACAAGACGAGGCAAGCTTTGCTGGTATAGAAAGGTGATCTTAGATCAAATATAAAGGAAACTTGTTTCAAGAGAAACAAGTCCTTCTGGTCTGCCTATTGAGATAAGGGGAAACCTTTGTTGCTTTGTGGTTAGTGGACTAAAGACCTCAAATTGAGAGGTCTGGATGTAAACTCTGGTCAGAGTCAATCACATTGTGTGTGGGTACAAAACACCCAACTCTTAAGCCTGGTTTTGCTAGCAAGACAAGCAAAAGGGCAAGCACAAATTCACACATTAGGAAAATTATCATCATCATAGCAGTCCATTAGGGGCAACAGTGACTGTGTGGACCTTGTTAACCTGGGCAACCATTTCATGAAACTGCTTGCAAAGTGTTTAATTACCCCTGGCTTTTGCTGGACTAGGGGCACATTCTTGACAGATATTATCAGTGGCAAGGACAGACTGACTCCAGTATCTGTTGCAGTGACTGACCAGATGATTGGTTTGTTTATCTCTGCTCTTTGTGTATTGCATGTCATAATGCACTGACTGGCAAAAGTACATCATGGACCTTTCGACAGATGTGTTGATCATCTACCAGAATGTCCAGACTCACCCTGTGTAACTGGGAGTGGTCCACCTCAAACATTAAGACAGATATTGTTTTTAGCTCTGTCAGGATGCCCAGTTTCACCCTCCACGCCCTCTAAGGGGCAGGTTTGCCGGTTGAATCCCTGACTTCCTGTCCTGTGACACAGGTAGTACCGGTTTTCATGGTTATTCAGTAGCAAGCAAACCAATGCTTGACCTAACATGAGATATGTCAAAGGAAAAAAAAATTACTTAAGTCTAGAGCTAGATCTTTCTGTGTGGGTTTTCTTATACCCAAGGTCACATGACCAGTTTTCCTAATTTGTTGAAGTTTGAGATTAGAAAAACAGCCATCTTGATCTTTTTCCTTACTCTTTTTTGGACTTTGGACTAATACATTACAACTAGTACAATAAAAGCAAAAATTTCTGATCTTTGTTCTTGTTCTTGTTCTTGGGCTTGTGTTTATGTTTACATCAAGGCCATTTCACAGTGAAATATGAACTGTTGTGCTTGTGTTAACTTTATGCTTGCATTTGTGCTTGTGTTGCTAGTGAAAACCAGGCTTTCTAATTTGTCCTTCCACCCCAGTGAACTGTCAAGAAGACCTGAGAAAATAATAACTGGGTAGCAACTATTTGCTTCTAACTGTAGAGAGGGGTGAGGTCTGCTGGAGATATTGTCCTTCTTGCCCAAAGGCCAACTTCACAAATATGAAAGTGCTCTTTGCATTAAGGAACGCTACTTGAGAAGCAGTGAAAATAAGATGCGAAAAAAAATTCAAGCCTGCATCTGTGATACCAAAGCAGTGCTCTACCAACAGAGCTAACAAGCCAACTGGGAGCTGGTCACTATGTTGGTTCCAAATAAACCCGTTAAGTGATGAGTAAATAACTGTGAATATTGTGTGAACAATAGACAAAGATGTGAATATGAAAGCGATTTTCACCAACTTCAATTGACTTTATTTCAAGGTTGCAATAATGTCCTTATCTGTTACCTGATCCTAGACTTGACTGTTAAGGAGTTCCTTTTTCTTTTTTTCTCTTTTTTGGTTACTGTGCGAGATAATTATTGTTTTTCTTTTTCCTCTGTGTAGACTGGAATTGGGAATATTGCTATCAATGACTTTCTCCTCATAGAAGCCACAATATACAAACTGCTAAAGAAACATGTATTCCAAGAGCCATATTATGTTGATGTTTTAAATTTATTTCATGAGGTTAGTACTGAGATCACTCAATACAGGTTTAAAAATGTTAAACACAAACTAGAAATGTGTTTAAAGACTGTACATATTATGGATAAAACCTGAAAAGTCAGTAAGTACCTTAATAAATAAATTCCAGTTAAAGTGCAGTTGAAGTAATGTTTGTTGCAAAACAGAATGTCATTTCCTTAAAATACTAATATTAAACTTTTGAAGAGAGTAACTTTGTGGGTGTGCTTTCCCAGTAATTCAGTTTGAAGAAGCTTGTTTTTCTCACTGGCAGACATTTTTATCATGGGTAATTGAATCAATGGCTGACATTTTTTTGTGGATCTGCTTCTAAGGTTACTTATCAAACTGCAACTGGACAAACATTAGACCTTATCACCAAGCCTGGCACAAATTTTGAGAATTTTACCATGGAAAGGTATTGTAGCCACTTTATGACTGAAATAATGCCAAAATTGCAAACAATGCTAAAACTGAAAACTTACAGAGAATATAAAAGATCCTATCTTAACACAAAGATTTTGAAGACATCAAATGACAGGTCGTTATGTTTGCCATTTGCTAAAATGCAGCCAAAGGAAAAGCAGACAAAGAACAGAATATAATTTTTATTAGGACGGTTGCTTGAACATAATTAATTAGTGCTGGGTACAGGTAAGAAGATATGGTGAAAGCAATGATGTAAACATCAGAGTTGCAGTTTATAATGGAAGCTCCCTAACAGTGCACAATCTTTTACTCAGTGTTCACATTGTTACAGTTGATGTCAATGGGTTCATTTGTGATTTAGTCAATTATTTTGTATGCTTTTAGTTTGTGCTAAAATTATACAAAATCAGGCCATCTTTTTGCCATGTGTCTCCTTCAAGTTCCATTTGTTTACTTAATTTGTATTTTTTTTGCCTTAAGTTTTGTCATCTGTTGCCAGTTTTGTTTCACATACTAATTAGGTGTTTATCACTTCCTTTATAAGTGAAGTTTAATGTTTTGAAATCAAGAATCTGTGGCTTTGTTGTTGTGTCTCTGCACACAGATTGTGACTGAATGAATTGGTAGGAAAATAAACAATGGAAAGATAGGAGGGGCCCATGCCACCCCTCCAGGCTAGGTTACTAAGCACTTCATCCTTTTTTCAGATACAAAGCTATTGTGAAATACAAGACAGCATACTATTCATTTTATTTGCCAGTTGCACTGGCAATGTATATGGTGAGGATCCAAAAAATAGCTTTATTGTCGTGAAATTTCTGATATCAACTCATTCAAACATGGCCTCCACTTTAAACCATAAATGTTAGCTTTGATATTAACATCTGTGATTGGAAAGGACTATTTTTTCTAAGTGGTTAACTTTCTGTATTTGTAGGCAGGTATAAAGGACATAACATCACATGAAAATGCCAAAGAAATTTTACTAGTGATGGGGGAATTTTTTCAAATTCAGGTGAGGCATTTTGCATCAATTCTATATGAAAGGGAACAGTCATTCAAGCCCCCCCCCCCCCCCCCCTCCCCCTCCCACAAGTGGAGATAAACTGTTCCAGTGATTAGAACAATGAATTCTGCTTTAGAAGATCCTGGTTCCAAAGCCCAGGGTGCCATCCTTTTTTGTGTTCTTGAACAAGAATTTGACTCTTATCTAGCATCTCTCCGCCCTGGAGTAACTACAAGGTAACTACAACAACAAAATGAACAAGGAAATGTGATGGAGGATCTCTCTTAAATGCTTCAAGATCTTCACTTGATGGACGAAAATGATTTATTGATGAAAGTAAATTTAGGAGCAGAAATACTTAAAAAACGAAGAGTTTGGACTTTTGCTATCTTACATGTACATCAACTTTGATGTTCACAGGATGACTACTTGGACTGCTATGGGGACCCAGCGGTTACAGGAAAAGTAGGCACAGATATTGAAGAAGAAAAGTGCTCTTGGCTGATTATTCAAGCTCTTCAAAGGATATCTACAGACCAGATGCAAATTTTAAAGGTGCAAGAGCTATTAATGTAATCAAATATATATGTATGTATTTTTTTTCCAAAATACGTTTTTGAGTTCACGAGCAGTTAAGTAGCTGCTGTTGTTCAGCAGCCCACCCTCCCTTTCCCCTGTTTTTGCCTTCCACTGATCTAATCACTGTCTGTGGATACTCCAATCACTTACCTTGCATTTACTTTACGGCTAAACGTGTTTAAAGCAGTGTTTAAACTTGAGCTGGTGTTCGACGAAATCTATGTGTGCGCTTCATGTGGTTTCCGCTTCCAACCTACGATTCATTCATTTTTTGGACCTGTGATATACCCTACTTTTAAATACTTATATCGACCAGCTACTTTGCTAGTATTCTCATTTTATTAATTTTCAGATTATGTAATGACTTGTAGGATGAGATAAGATTTTTCACATTCAGAACAAAAAGCCTAACCCTAATGGCTGCCTTCTCTCCTAGAGATTTCCATTGTACACAGCAGGCACTCGTAATAAGAAACAGGAATTTAACTTTGTTTTTTTTTGGATTCTTTTTTCTCCAGGATAATTACGGTAAAAAAGATTCTGCGTCCTCCGAGAAGGTGTGCAGCTCGCCTTCTAATTTTATTAATCTTCATATTATGTAATGACTTGCAGGATGAGCTTAAATTTATTAAAACCCCACCCCTATTCCCTGCTTTCCCTCCAAGAGATTTTTATTCCACAAGTTTGACACTCGAAATAAGAAACAGGAATTTACCGGTAAACCTGTTCTATTTCGGTCACTTTTTTTTTGAGGAGAATTACAGTGGAACAAATTCTGCGTCATCCGAGAAGGTTGAGATTTAATTAATTTTCAGCTCATGTAATGACTTGCAGGATAAGCTAAGATGTATTAGTATCAATAATAACACGATTTCGAGTGTAATTTCAATTGTTGTTGATTAGTACGATTAAATTTTTTATAGACAACACAATTGTGCCTATTTACATCAAATTGCACGCGAAATGATTCTATTTCTTATTAATAAATTACTTGAAAAAAAGTATCACGGAAAGTCAAAACAGACGAAATTTTGACAGTGCACGTGCTATTTGTAAATTGCACTTGTGTTACAACTTTGCACCCGTGTTATTTGAAAAATG